GCCTCTGCCTCTGCCTCTGCCTCTGCCTCTGCCTCTGCCTCTGCCTCCTGAGTGCTGGGATTAAAGGCATGTACCACTACTGCCGGGCACATCTTTGCGTAGTTAAACAAATCTTCTGCAACATTCATCAGTGACCAGGTCTCATCGATTGATCTGTGTGGTCCTTGATGGTTCTGTGAGCTGCTGTCCACTCTGTGGCAATTAGCACAATGAAACGCTGTATACTTATTGTCGGAGCTCTAGCACAGAATCAGCCTTCCACCTGGGGTAAGCTACCACAGATCCCACAGTATGGAAGGCGACTGAGGACTTGGAGCCTCTCTCTGCTTACTTCTAAAGTACATGACACATTGGGGACATGTACTACACTGACACGTGCTCAGTGTAGAGAATGAGGAAAATGTTACAAAGCAGAAGGATGGGTAGTTAGGATCCAATTACCCAAGACAAACTTTTCTCTAATGTAGCCCTGATTATATTAAATACGCCAGACTTGAGGCTGGGTTACTGGGGAAGGTAGAAACCAAGAGTTAATTTTATATCCTACAATATAGGGCTTAGTAAAGGCGACTTGGAGTCTCAGCTGTAAGTTTGTATCTGAAATATTTTCTTCCTTTTTTTTTTAAGACAAGTTTTCTCTGTGTAGCTCTGGCTGTCCTGGAACTCACTCTGTAGACCAGGCTGACCTTGAACTCACAGAGATCCACCTGCCTCTGCCTCCTGAGTGCTGGGATTAAAGGTGTGCACCACCACCACCTGGCTTTCCGATATTTTCAGTTATATCTGGTCTCATGTTTCTATAGAACCATTTCTTACAAAACCTCTCTTGGTCCCTGCCCTGTCAGAACCTTGACATCTCTGGTTGTGGCAGCCCATTTTTCTAGCAGTTGCAATAAAGTGCTGTGAAAGATGAGAACTTACTCAGTGTGTGTGTGTGTACATGTGTGTGTACATACGTGTGTACATGTGGAGGTGAGAGAACAATGTGCAGGAACTGGTTCTCTTCTTCCACCATTTGAGGTCTGGGGATCAAACACGGGTCATCAGGGTGGCAGCAAGTGCCCGTACTGCTAAGCTAACATGGCAGCTCGTTTCCAGTAGTAATGTGTTCTGGAGGATCAGATAGGAGACCCACTGGAAACCCCACAGTCCATGTTGGTACTCTGTTTGGCTGGGGCAGTCACTAGCAGTCCGAGCTGTCGATCTTGTAAGATCATTCTGACGCCAGGCCACTGGTTATTTTCCTAACAGTTTATAAAATTGTTTTCTCCTTTTTATTCTGAAAGGTTGAATGTAACTCTCGCCTTGACCCGATAAATACGACTTTACTGAAGGTAAGTAATGTGTTTTCTGGCACTGCTGACCACGCATGAGTTAGCATGATTCCAAATGAGTGTGCCCCAGGAGACCTTTACGGAAAAGCTGCTCATGACTCTGTTGTTCGCTGTTTAAGGAACAGAGCTTCCTGAGGATATTCTCCTTATGGGAGTTACTTTATTTTGCTTCAGTAAAACCCCACGACGAAGGAAGCATATTAAAGAAGGTGTTTAATTGGGCTTACAGTTTCAGAGAGTTAAGTCCGTGATGATGAAGCAAAGGTGGCATGGTGGCCAGAACAGCTGAGAGATCACAGCCACAGATAGGGTGCAGAGGGCACACGGGAAATGGTACACGTCTTTTGAAACCTCAAAGCCCAGCCCTAGCGACACACCTCCTCTGACAAGTCCACACCTCCTAAATAGTTCTGCCAACTGGGAGCCAAGCATTCAGACATGTGAGCCTATGGGAGTCACTTATTTCAAACCACCACAGTCCTCATAGATATTAGAAAATAGAATAAACAGAACAAAAATTTAAATTCTTTATAATCCTAGTACAAAGGATTTTATATAGTAAAGGTATTGGTGTCTTTTTTAAAAATTTCTTTTTTATTTTATGAGCATTAGTGTTTTGCCTGCATGTATGTCTGTGTGAGGGTGTCAGGTCCCCTAAAACTGGAGTTTCAGACAGTTTTGAGCTGCCATGTGGGTGCTGGGCACTGAACACAGGTCCTTTGAAAGAGCAGCTGGTGTTCTTAACTGCGGAGCCATCTCTCCAGCCTCAGTACTGGTGTCTTTCTCCTGCACTCTTTTATGTCATTAAAATCAGAAGGCATGCACTGGGCAAGGTGGCACACACCTTTAATCCCAGCACTCAGGAGGCAGAGGCAGGTGGATTTCTGTGAGCTGGAGGCCAGCCTGGTCTACAAAGTGAGTTCCAGGACATCCAGGGCTACATAGAGAAAGAAACCTACTCAAAATGTCCCCAAAGGGCATTTATTGCTCCGTATCTGCTTTACTCCCATTCATGACATAAACATTTCCCCAGGTCATCAAAAGCTGCATCGGCCAGCTGTGGTAGCACTCATCTGTAATGCTGGTACTTGGGAGGTGGAAGCAGGAGCATCTCTATTTAGAGGCCAGCTTTGGCTACATAGGGAGCCTGTCTAAAAAATAAAAACTGTAACAAAAATGTTAATAATTCGCTGGACTGGTGTAATGGCATATGCCTTTAATCCCGGCACTCAGGAGACAGAGGCAGGTGGATTTCTGTGAGTTGTTGGCCAGCCTGGTTTACATTGTGGGTTCCAGGAAAACCAGTGCTACATAGTAAGACCCTGTCTCAGAGGAGAAAAGAAGTCCATGGTTCTTTAAAAGAAGAAATGTTTTTAAAAATGTTAATGATTCCGTGTTATTTTTTTACAGTCTGAACCTTGCTGTTTTGGTAAGAAAGTTCTGGAAATACTCTGATAGTTAGGATAGGTAAACTCTCAACAGGCAGATAGCAACTGCCTGCTGAGACAGGGGGAAAAGATCTCAGGTATCCCATGATGACCTCAGAATTCTGTGTAGCTGAAGATGATCTTGAACTTCTGATCCTTTTGCTTCCACCTTCCACATGCTGGAACTTCAGGTGTGTGCTGTGTGCTGGGATTAAAGGCATGGGCCATCATGGCTGATAGACAGCTACTTTTTACCTAAATTTCTGAGCTAATATGAAGATTCTCCACATTGCCCTTTCTTTTTCTTCTTCCTTGGATGGTGCTTGGAGGCACTCAGTGTGGTCCAGCCTTTGAGACACCGTCATAAATTCCCTACAATACAGCCTTTAACAAAATTAGACTGTCTCAAACCCCTGGCAATAGGATTGTTCACCTTTATACCAAGAAGGTCAGAAAACATCAAAATCTGAATGCTGTGTGTGCCTGGCAGACTTCGAGGATTTGGGCTTTAGGACCTAATATCCTCACGAGATTGTTTACAACAAACATGTCAGCAGGCCTTATCATTGTCCCATGTGTGCTAAGTGTGTCCGAGACAGGTTCAAGTGTGCTTCCTCATTGAGGATCATTGCCATGTAAGCTTGACAACCTGGGTTTGCTCCCTGAAACACACCACACATGAACCACCATGCACACATATATATGCACACAGACACATACACATACATACACATGCATGCTCACACACTCATATACACACACATGCATGCTCAAACACTCACATACACACGCATGCACACGCACACATACATATGCACGGGTTCACTCTTGTGGGTGTGTATAAACATGCCTGGAGATGCACATGCAAATGTGAAAAGGCCAGAGGCCAACACTGGGTGTTATTCTCTACTTTATTTTGTTTTGAGAGAGAGTCACACTATGTAGCCCTAGCTATGAAGTTTACTATGTAGACCAGGCTTATTGAACTCATAGAGATCCACCTGCCTCTACCAAGTGCTGGGATTAAAAGTGCAGGATACCATGCCTGCCTCTCTACATTGTATTTAGAGATAGGGTCTTTCTCCTTTAAATACCTATATTATATTGTATGTATGTATGTATGTGTGTGTGTGTGAGTGTATTGCGTGAACATCTATCAACAGAAGCCCGTGGAGGTCAGAAGAGACTTTGAGTTCAATGGAATTGAAGTTACAGATGTTTTGAGCTACCGTGTAGGTGCTGGGAAGTGAACCTGGGTACTGTGCAAGAGGAATAGTGCTCTTAATCATGAACCATCTCTGCAGCCCTGAGCTCATAGACTCAGCTATGCTGGCAGGCTAATGGATCCAGAGATCTGCCTCTTCCAGAGTCCTGGGGTGACAGACAGGCACCACCAAGGCTGGTGCTGCAGTCTGAACTTGGGTCCTCATGCTTACACAGCAGACACTTAACTAACCAAGCCTCACACTCTTAGGCTCTCTGTAGCAGCCCATATCTTAAATACTAAGAGTTCCCTTTTAAATAAAGTGTTTGTTTGTTAGTTTGTTTGTTTTGGGGGGACATTGAGATAGGGTTTCTTGGGTATAGTCTTAGCTTTCCTGAAACTCATTTTGTAGACCAGGCTGGCCTCTGCTTCCCAAGTGCTAAGATTAAAGGTATGTGCCACCATGCCTGGCATAAAGTTTTCTAGCAATGCTACCATGGAATTCATATCCCTTTAAATAGAGACAAGTCAAAACCAGATATAGTTGTGAACATCTTTAATGCCAACACTCAGGAGGCAGAGGCAGGAGGACCTCTGTGAATTTGAGGTGAGCCTGGTCTACATAGACCAGTAAACAAACAAATAAACAGAGTCAAGTCAATCAAGCAGCCCCTTCGAAAGGACATGGAACTGAGAGCGTTCCCCTTAGTGGAGGTCCTGCTGACTTAGGTGTTCTTCCTCTTCTAGATGGCAGACTGTGGAGGACTGCCCCAAGTAGTTCAGGTAAGAAAGTGTTCATAATTACACACACACACACACGCACACACATGCACACGCACACACACACACACACACACACACACAGAGTCATTGCTACCTCTCCACCTATGCAAAGAGTAATGCCTTCTTTTTTAAATTTTTCATTTGTTATTATTTGCTTTATTTATTTATTCATTCATTCATTCATTTTGAGACAGGCCGTTACTATGTAGTCCTGGCCACCCAAGAACTCACTACATAGACCAGACTGATTTCAAAGTCACAGAGATCCACCTGCCTCTGCCTCCGAGTGCTGGGATTAAAGGCTTGTGCCTCCATGCCCAGATGATTTGTAGCATGAATAATAAAAATCCAGAGACAGATATAGGGGTTAAAGCTGAAGATAGAGAAGCAGAGCAGGCAGCCACTAGAGAGACCTTTTACCTCTGCCAATGCTCAGACCGAAGGGGCGATCCTCAGATTGCCTAGACTGCATTGTGTCTCCACCAAACCTCAGACTCTACACTCCAGTGAGTTCCTGTCTCTTCTGCTTTATATTCCTCTCTGCTCAGCCATATCGCTCCTGTCTTCACCTCCCTAGTGCTGGGATTAAAGGTGTGTGACTCCCAAACACTGGGATTTAAGGTGTGAGCCACCACCACCACCTGGATCTGTTTCTGCAGGGATCTTGTGTAGCCCAGGGTAGCCTTGAATCTACCTTGAACTCACAGAGATCCATCTGCCTCTGAGTGCTGGATTAAAGGTTTGTGCCACCATTCCTTGAGCTCTAGTGACTTAGCTTTGCACTCTGATCTTCAGGCAAGCTTTATTTTTTAAAATACAAATAAAATATCACCACAGTGATTGATGACTTCTTGTGTTGTCCTCCCAGGCTGGGAAGCTCACCAAGGCCTTCAAGTACTTTTTGCAGGGGATGGGCTACAGTGAGTAGTATATGCTCTCTATTTATGGGTGATGGAGTGAGTTTGACATCTGAGAGTCCATAGTTCTCAGAATATAACCAACCCATCGACTAATCAGCCTTAAGTGGAAACCAATAGAGTATGGGGCTTTTGTCCGTGCCTGTGTATGAGATGGGCAGACGCTCATCAGCACTTACTTGTATCAGGAGGTCCTTGGGGAAGTACAGCAGTCTCACTGTACCGGACTTACACTGTAAAACACGCCCTACTTGTTTGTTCTTTTGTTCTTTGGTTTCATCTTACATGCACTGCAGGTTTTGGTGACCAGTGTGTGTTCCCAAAGCCACCTTCCTAATCACTGTATGAATGGTGTGGTCACAGCTAAGAGGCTTTACTCTTCCCTTAGAGTTTCCCATCATACTCTGAAGTCGAATCTGGAGAGAATCCAGATGCAGGAGATCAAAGCAGCCTTGCATACAGTCACTCACCTAGAGCAAATAGTGCAGAGGGGGCACCTCTTGTGCCGTCCTGGGCATCATCTTAGGTGGGCTGGGAAAGGTAAAGTCTTAGTGAAGCTTGTAGAGAACTTGAGCTCCTCCGAGCTCCTCCTCCTGATCCCCTGGTTCTTTGTTACAGTACCATCAGCCAGCATGACCCGGCTCGCCCGATCACGAACGTACTCAGCCCCCAGTAACATCGGATCTGAAAAAACTTATTTCAACCAACCTGTGACCAGCAGTCAGTCAGATGGAGTTCGAGAAGCCTGTGAGGCCCCTAATCTCCCGAACACACACCAGAGCATGGAAGTGCCCTGCTAAGCAAATGCGTCCTCTCTGGACCATGTAAGCCCCTCCTTCAGATGACCACTCCATAATAGAACATTTCTGTTCTGCATTAGCTGGCCTCCACTTTCTTTCACTCGTGCATGACCACGGCATCTCTCTCTCTCTTTCTAGTAGCTTGGATTTGCCAGTCTCTCCACACACCCCTTTTCATCTGTGCTAAGAACCACACCCATGCCCTTACTATAACATTTCAATGTCTTTTAAAATTATTTTCACATTTATCTAGTTAGTGTGTGCATGGGTGGAGGTAAGAGAACAACCTTCATGAATTAGTTCTCTTCTTCACCCCTGAGATTGAACTCAGGTGATCAGGTTTGGCATCAAGTGACTTTACCCAGTGAGCCATCACACAAGCCCCATATTCCAACATCTTGATCCGATCTGATCTCCATATCGTCTCTTGCCAGCCTTTCCCTGTGCTCCCTCAAATGTGTATCTGACGAGATTCTTTGATTCTCAACTCCATGTATGTGCGAGCATGCGTGTCTGTGTGTGCATAGTTCTGTGATTTTAGACATGCTTTCTTGTAGCGCTTCTGCAAAGGGACTTTTTTGCATGTAGTGGCATTTTTTTCAAAATATTTATTTATTTATACATATGAGTGCTCTATCTGCATGTATGCCACCATGACAGAAGAGAGCATCAGACAGAAGAGGGCACCAGATCTCATTATAGATAGTTGTGAGCCATCATGTGGTTGCTGGGAATTGAACTCAGGACCTCTGAAGGAGTAGGCAGTGCTCTTAACCACTGAGCCATCTCTCCAGCCCCTCAGTGGCATTTTAAAGGGAAATATGCATAGCAGATAACTGGATGGCTTGGGCCACAAGGTTGGATTTTGGTTCTACTTGAACAATATTTGCGGTGATTTTAGGAGAGAGTAGGTCTGGGGGATGCGGGGATGTAGTTACTGTGTAGACCATTGACTGACTGGGACCAGTAGAGGGGTCTGTAGAGATTCCAGAGTCATGGTATCTGGCTTGAATTCCAGAGTTATAGCACCTAGACTTTGAACTATCTGTTGTTTAAAGTCAGTGACTCCTGTCTATTTCCTCTTCTCAGGGTGATCCATGCGTCCCTCTTTGGGTTCTCCTTGTTCCCTAGCTCCTCTTGGGCTGTGGATTGTAAATTAGGGATTGGGGGGGCAGAAGGGAGAGGATGGGGGATGAGAACATGAGGAAATGGAGGGTCGAGTTGGGGGAGGGATGGAGAGGGAGAACAATGAAAGAGATATCTTGATAGTGGGAGCCATTATGGGGTTAGAGAGAAGCCTAGTACTAGGGAAATTCCCAGGAATCCACAAGGATGACCTCAGCTAAGACTCCTAGGAATAGTGGAGAGGGTGCCTGAACTGGCCTTCTCCTGTAATCAGATTGGTGACTAACCTAAATGTTATCATAGAAACTTTGTCCAGAAGCTGATGGGAGCAGATGCAGAGATCCACAGCCAAGCACTGGGCTGAGCTCCGGGGTGTCCAGTCGAGGAGAAGAAGGAGGATTATAGAGCAGGGACTTCAGGATCATAATGGGGAAACCCACAGAGACAGCTGACCCGAGCCAGTGGGAGCTCAGGGACAGCTGGGGAGCCTGCATGGACCAACCAAACTAGGCCCTCTGCATGTGGGTGACAGTTGTGTGGTCTGTTTGTGGGGCCCCTGACAGTGGGACCAGGATCTGTCCCTGGTGTTTGAGCTGGCTTTTTGGAGCCCATTCTCTATGGTGGGATGCCTTGCTCAGCCTTGATGCAAGGGGAATGGGCTTGGTTCTGCCTCAACTCGATGTGCCAGGCTTTGTTGACTCCCATGAGAGGGGAGTAGATGGGAGAGGAGTGGGAAGAGGGGAGGGAGGGGGAACTGTGGTTGGTATATAAAATGAATTTTAAAAAATTTTTAAAAATTCAGGGTGATGTGGCCGTACGCAGAAGGCAGCCTCCAGAAATCACTTCTCTTAAGTCCACCATTGGGTCCTGAGGATTGAACTGGCGTCATCAGGCTTGATGACAAGTGTCTTTGCTCACTGAGCCATCACACTGGCCCAGAAATGAGTCCCACTTTAGAGTCCCTCGTGGAACAATCTCCTAGGTGATTTCTATGCCTAGATTTCCCCTCTGAATATTTGGACACAAAGCTGCTAAGATTGGGTTCTCTGGTGGTTACTGTGGACAGGCCTGCATGGGAAGCTCCTGCTCATCCCTCCTCATTCTTTATTCCTTGGCCCACATGGATTCAAACAGTCAAGAAGGACCTCCAGCATGAGGATGGGAGGGGCAGCTGCTCCCCAGAACAGGAAAGGGGCAATGTGGTGCCTCCATGGCCTATGATGCCGTCAGAGGAAACAGAGGCGGGGAGGCTGTGGGGTTATGAGAACCACAGAGTCTGCAGCTGGGAGCTGGAGCTCTGAGGAGCGACACCTGTGTCTACAAGGGGCTCAGATCCCCGGGCCTCACTCTCTGGCCCCGCGGTGCTGGTTAGGACGGCCTGCTCTGGTTTCCCCGAGAAGCAAAGGGCTCCTGCCCCAGTATTGTGGAAATGGCTGTCCACTAACAAGCCTAAGCGTCCCCCAGCTTACTCCGAACGCCTCTGGTGATCCTCCAGGCTGAGATCCAAACGTGCTGGTATCTACAATGACACCTTAATATCTGCAAAGGCCTGACCTGTCAAGCTGAAGTGTGAGAGTTGCCCAAGTACCCTCACCAAACTTCTGATGACAAACCTGTAAGTATGCTTGCTTTTTTTTTCTGGTAGACTTGGGACAAGTGAGAAAAAATGGTCTCCTCTGGGACTGGGAGTGAGCTTTATAGTCAGGCTCCAGGACGACATGTACCAAACGATCCGATCCGATCTCTTCTGCGAATGTGGCCAGCACCTGTTCATCCTCGGCCTCACTGCCACTGCCTGGGCCTCGTCTTCCCCACTAGTTACCGCGCCTTATCCAAACCAGGAGGAGAAAGTCGCAGAGTCCTGGAGATGTGTCCAGCAAAGAGCAGGGCCCTTTATGGCCCAAGGGTCCTAAGGTTGTGGCCCTGCTGAGCTAGAGTCAGGAAGTTAATCACCTCTAATCCTCCCTTCAGTCCATTGAAGTCAGTATTATGATCCTTCATCGCAAGAGATGCTATGAACTGCATGCATGCTTTGCTGCATGCTTTGCCTGAGGTTTCACAGCTGGTCTGAGTTAGTCACCCATGCTACCCATGGCAGGTGTAAAGCCAAGCACTTAACTTGAACCTCATACTCATGGGCAGCTGAAATGGAAGACTTTCCCTTGTAGTGAGTGAATCCCAGCCCTCGGGAGGCAGCAGAACCACCCCCTCACCAAGGCCGCCCAGTCCCCAGAGTTTGGGAGGAAGGGGCCATCCAGAGCCAGTCATGGGGCCCCAGCCTGCTTGGTGCTCCTGAGCTCTGCTGTGGACTCTGAGCTCCTGCAGAGAGGCAGCAGAGAGCTCTGTTTGTCCAGCTGATGGAACGGGGCTGCGGGACAGGTGGGCAGAGGAGTGGGGGCTGGCACAGAGGAGCGGTCCTCCCAGGCAAGAAATATGCCCACTGTGCTCCCACGCTAATCTGTGAGATTCCTTCCAACTTTAAACCCTTGGCAGTGCCCGGTACAGAAAACAAACTCAGTGAATGGCATTTGAATGGAACCAAAAAGATGAGATTATAGCCTGTCCTACTATAATCAATGAGACATCTGGAAAGGATTAGAGAGCCAGCCTTCCTCACTGAAACACTTAATAGAGTACTGGAAAATCAACATTTCTCTAGAAACCAAGGATGTGCTTAGTCTGAGGACAGCACACTGTGCAAACACTCTGCTCACTTTGGTTCGCTCTGTTGATGTGTGTTGAGAGCCTCACAATGCTGAGGGCAGGACATGGAACTGTAGGGTAATGGCAGATTGAACAAATATTCCAACCGAGCCTGCTGGCAGTCACAGGACTGTGAAGCAATGGACCAGTTGATCCCAAGAGTTTTGAGACAACCTAGGGAACACAGTCCTACAGTTCATAGTCTCATAAAAACAAAAACAAACAAACAAACAAAACAAAAACTTCCCAGGAACGCAACAGAGTAAGTGAAAAAGGAAGAGTTCCTGGAAGAATTTGGAATAGGATCTTCAGAACCAGGAAGGAAGTATGGCCCCAGGGCTGGCTTTCCAGAGCATTATCTACCATCCCCAAATGTTGAGTGTGGTTACCCCACTTCTCAGATGAGGAAAGGGGGACCAAGAGTGGAAGTGACCAGTGAGCCTTGCAAGTCACCACTGTGTCACATGGTCTGACAGACTCCGGCTGTTTGCACCAATAACTATTCAGTGTCACCTCTGCTTGTGACTCCCATCCCAAGGCCTCTTGGCTCCCCCTTAGCTCCTCTCTAACCCTAGCCACGGTCCCTGGTATGGCTTAGAGATCAGTGTCTTGCCACTATCCCTGCTACCAGCTAGTAGAATGTGACCCCAGGCCTAAGGAGTGGTTCTCAGGCCACAGGAGGTCACAGGAGGATTAGCAAAGGCTAAAGATTCCTAGGAAACTTCCTGAGAAAATGTGGGGCCCAGACAATCCCAAAAAGAATAGAAAGGGCAGGGTAGCCCAGCAGAGGGAACACAAGAGAAAGGTCCGGAAGACTTGAATGGAGCCCAGCCACTGCCTAGGAAGAATGGAATACAGAGAAATCGCCTCTGTTTGCTGCGGCCTCAGCTGGTTTCTGTGTCAGTCAGTCCAACACTGTGATGGCGAGAGACTGGCTGTTGGGATGCTGCCGTTTCCATGGCCCTGATGGACAGGCCATTTTCCTGTGAGGGCCAGGTGTCAGGTCCTAGCGGGGATCATGGGCTGTGCCCCACGGCAGCAAGCACCCTTTTCAGGTCTCTTTCAGCAGTGTGCTCCTGAGAATCTGCTGAGGAATGATGGGAAGTTGGCCCAGCAGAGGGAAAAGCCTGCCCACAAGCTCCAACACCATCTCCTCTGATTCAGGCCAGGGACCTGTGTCCACACAAGCAGGTAAGTTACGTCTGTGGGGCCACCAGGCCCTTCCCAGGTCTAGGGACCTAGAGCTCATCACCTGTGGGTCTTTGGCCAACAACCCCAAACTTCAGTGAGAGCCATAACCACTCTTACTCTTGCCAGTGAGCCACAGGCTCCCAGCTTCTGCTGATCTTGCAATAGTGGTAAGAACATTAATGTGAGGGGCTGGAAGTGGAACTCGGGGTTAGAACCTGTGGCTCCATCCTCAGCACATGCACAAAAATGTGTTTGAAGTTGGGCATCATGCTAGCTACAACAATGCAAGCCTATACTTCCTTCATTTAGAAGCCAAGGAGAATTGTGGGTTTATGTATATAGCCTGGCTTACACTAAAAGAGCCCTCTTTAATTTCACAACGGGGGTGGGGTTTTGCCTTGTTTGGAAACTCCTCACAGAAACACCCAGACTGGTTTGACCAGATACTGCCTAAATGCTGTGTGGAGCCATGGTGGTCCAGAGAATTAACCACCACGGATGAGATCATCCACACCCAGAAGCACTGTTAGGAGGGGTGCCGGGAGTATTAATAAACTACACTAGAGACTGCAGACGGCTGAGCATCTGGACTTAGGCACAAACTGTTGTTCCTCGACCCCCAGATCCCTTAAAGTGGCAGTGTCTTTTCCTGTTCTGTACTCAAGCCCCTTCCTCCCTGCTACCAGCACTCTGACACCCTGGGCGCCCCCTCATCTACAGTGAGAGACCTGCAGGAAGAGCCCTGAAAACCACTCCGACAGCCCCTTTTTCCACTGAGTCAGAGGCAGGTGGCAGGCTGCTGAGTAATGCTGGTGCTTCTGAGGGTAATGACCACCCCTGGAAGATGTACCTGGCTCGGAGAACCTTTTCTTCCCTCCATATGGCCTCCAAGGAAGGGAAGGAAAAGTGAGGTCAGTGAATTAGTTTTCAACAGACACCTGCAGGCTCTGCAAGCTTAGGGAGGAGTTGCTAGACTGTGTGGGCTCATGTGAGGAAAGTGGAGGTCCTCTGCTTGCTGCCTGATGCCCCACCTCCAAACTGAACTTCATGTCCACTGAGTCCTCAGGGCCATTTCTAGGGTGGCCCACAGTGTCTTAGCCTCACTCTGGCTCCGTGATTCAGGCCAGTCACTCCTCCACTGGAGTCTTTGCCTCCCAGGAAGCTGGGGCCCTTCCTGAGAGGTGCAGCCGTCTCCCTTCCTCCCTAGCCTGGGCCTGTGAACAGTGTGGTATGGAATTGGAATATACCCCTCCCCTTGCTGAGTGCCACGTCAAGGCCTTGAGACCTTTCTGCAGAGTGGAGATGACCAGGCACACCGACGTCAGGGCAGTGGTAAGGTGATGGAGGAAGACCCCAGTAGGGCCCCATGTGTGGGGTACAGTCAGGGTTATCAGGACTCTCAGTCACATGCTCCCGTGGGGCACTGCCCTGTCGGCCTACAATAGCAGCCTCTGGTGGCACTTCTCAGGGCCAGCACAGGCCTTCGCTTGCTGCCCTGGACGTAGGCTACTGGGAGTTCAGCCTGTGCCTGTGTGCAGTGCTCTTGGGTTTACAGAGCCTGTTCACAGGGGCATCTCTCCAGGGGCCTGACGTAGGAGTAATAGGGACACCAGAGTCAGGTGTGTGGCTAGCCTCAGCTCACAGACCCTGCTTTCTGTCTGCTCACCGCACATCACTGCTGGTGCTAGCTCTGCCCTTCTTCCTGGGACCCCAGGCTGAGCTATTAGCCTTCCTGAGTTTCCTCCCAGCCCCGCCCTCAGAGCTGTGTGGCCCCACCACCCCTTTCAGAGGCCCACTCAGATACACGTTGATAGGGGCTTCTAGCTGCTGTGGGTTTTTGTTTTGTTTTGTCATGGGGCCAGGGATGGAACCCGGGGCCTTGCACATTCTAGGCAAATGCAGCTCTGTTAAGCTATGTCCCCAGCCCTGTAGGTGTTCAGTTTCCCAGTTGTGGAGTCCTTCATCAAGGCCTCTGTAGAAGTTATACATATAGGGAGGCACGGCCAGGAGCCTGGTCCTCTAGCCACATACACTGAAGGCCCTCATTGGAACCCCCAAAGCTATGTGGGCTCTTCCAGGTTCTGTAGAGCCTGCTGGGAGCATTTCAGACTCTGGGGCTACCCCACACACACACACACACTTCAGGGTACCTGTGGGAAAGGTGAATGAGGGGAGCCAGACCAAGGCAAGAATCTACTGACTCACACCTTGAAGAAGCACTGACCAAGGGGGCAAATGTGTTTATCCCTCTGTCTAGAGAGAAGCAATGTCACAGCAGTGGCCCTGGGCAGTTTTCCAGCAGGTGCGCAGGCTGGACTGTCTTTGAGACTTGGGGAGCCGCTGACCATCGTCTCAGAGTAAGTCTACACACTGGGTCCTGAGGTGGCACTGTGGGAGAGGGTCCTTCCACTGCCAGCAGGAAGGCCCGGGCCACTTTAAAAAGGCTCCCATGTGACTATATCTCTGGGTGGTTTTGTGGCAGCCTGACACTCACAGGGAGAAAGGGAGTGGGGTCAGGCCTTGGAACAAGAACCACGGATCATTTGCCACCTGCTAGGCAAGGAGGGGCCTGGATTGGCTGGTGTGGGGATTCTGGGAAATAAGTAGAAAGGGTGCTACAAGCTCCACTTGGAGAAGCCCCTGCAGATGCCAAATGAAGGTGGTCCTCCGTGATCTCTCCACAGGGATGGAGATTGGTGGACAGTCATATCGGAAGTCTCGGGGAGAGAGTATCACATCCCCAGTGTGTATGTGGCTAAAGTCTCCCATGGGTGAGTACCCAGCCCAGTCCCACCTTGAGGACCTTCCTATACTCTTCCCACAGCGTCCTCTTTATGCATAGCTACAGACTGAACAGAGCCTGGGCCCTGGCCTTCAGAGGAGCAGACAACTGTTATGTCTTGTTCAGCTTGGCCTATGAGATTTGAGAGCCCAGAGAAGGCCCTGTAGAGGAGGTGTTGTGGTGTGGGCCTTTGGAAGGTGGCCAGGATCAGGTGTAGAGAACCTTGAAGGGGACATGTAGGAGACAGGCAGAGTCTATAGGGTCATCCTGAAGGAGACATGT